TTTCCTTTATTATCTTTTTAATATCTTATTTGACATGTTCAAAAGGTTATCTATGCCTATATGTTACTTTGAAAGCAAAACAGTAACAACACCTGTGACGACTCCACCACCCAACCCCAAAACTAAGACACTCCCATCAACCTTATATTCTCCCATTATGCCATTCCCCCAATTCCTCCTGCCCCACCCAAGGTGACCATTATCCTAAGTTTCATGTTTATCAACCTATTGCTTATACACACGATGTTATCATACATACATACAAATGTATGTACACTTAAAACAATATATCTATGAGCTAAATGCAAACATTTTTTTTAAAAAAGCAAACATTTGCCTACAACATCTGAGAAACACACAACTATTGCCTAGATCACATGCTTTACCTGGGCACACTATCCTTGAATTCCAGGAGGTGGGGTGGGGGGGGTGGAAGATGGGGAAATGAAGGCTTTTGTCCATCTATGGACACTTTTGGAAATGGAAGTAAAGAGATCATCACAAATAGTTTGCATAGAATACCAAAAAGATAAGCAGAGGAAAAAAAAAAGGAGAAAAATAATGTAGAAGCTCTTTGAAAGTGCTTTCTCTAGAAATGGAAAATCAGTGAATCTGCCAACAGAGCAAGTTTGGGGCTTAACACCAGATTCTCCTTATTGCTACGCTTACTACTAAATGGTTAACAGAAAACTCCTAAAAATAAAACGTTTCCTGATTTCAGTCTCTGAACAGAAAACATTTCCTTGTTTTCTCCTCCTTTCAAGATTTGTTTTCATTGTGAAAGATCTAGGATACTTTCTTAATGGAAAAAAAATTAGATTGTGAACTTTGAAAGAAGGAAACAAACAAACAAACAAGAAACAAAGAAAGAAGAAAGATTCCCTGACTGAAATACTTCTCACTGCCTTTTGTATTTATATGAGAAGACTCAATATTATAAAAATGTAAACTCTTTTCATTTGAGCTATAAATTCAGTGAAATTCCAAAGTCCCAGCAGATTTTGTTTAGATACTTAATAATCTGATTCTGAAATGTCTGTGCCTGAGCAAAGGCCCAAGATTAGCAAAACTATTCCTGAAGAATAAGATAGGAGGGGTTGCTCTACCAGATTTCAAGACATATGTAAAACAATGGTAATTAAAACAGTGTAGCCATGATACAGGACAGCACAGTGGGACAGAATAAAGAGCCCTGAAACAAACCCATGAACATATGGAAGTTTGATAGAGGACACAGAGGACACTGCAGATCGCCAAAGAAAGAAGAGACTATTTAGTAAATGATGCTGGTATAACTGACTATCCACATGGAAAAATATGAAGTTAGATACCTACCTCACACACCATACCAGCAGATCAATTCCAAATTGATTAAAGATTTAATGATTAGAGGGGAAAAAAATTTTCAAAAGTTATAAAAGAAAATATAAAATATCTATGAACTGGACCTGAGGAAGGACTTCTTAAACAACACACAAAAAGAACTAGACATTTTGTGCCCACTGGATTGGCAAAAATTCAGTCAGAAAATAACAGGTGTTGGCAAGGATGTTGATCAAAGGGAACTCATGCAGACGCTGCTAGAGGAAGTGGAAGTTGGAATAATTGAAATCACTTTGGAAAACAGTTTGGCAGTATCCTGAAGTTGAATATTTGTCTACTTGTGTATGACACAGCAATTCCACCCTTAGGGATGTACTCTAGAACAGTGCTTCTCTAACTTTAATGAACATCGGAATCACTTAGAAACTCACACAATTTGGGAGCCCCACCCCTGGAGATTCTGATTCAGTAGGTCTGGGATAAAGTCTATGAATGTGTATTTCTGAGAAGCACCCTGCTGCTGAGGCTGCTGCTGGTTTCCAGTCACAGTTGGAGCAGTGCTTCTCCAGATTTCTTCACTTGTGTCTTGGGAAACAGGAATAAGAATATTCAGAGTCACATTGTTCATAACAGCAAAAATCTGAACACAACCTAACTATCCATCAACAGAAGAATGGATAAACAAACTGTAGTATGTTCACACAATAAAGTATCCTACAATATTGAAAATGAATGAATAATAAGTACAGATAACAACCTGGATAAATCTTAGAAGCATAATGTTAAGTGAAAAAAATGACTCACAGAAAATTACATTCAGCATGATACCACTTTTATAAAGCTAACAAATTAATAATATATTTCTTAGGAACAAATGTATGGATAAAACTAAAATACAGAGCAAGGGAATGGAAAACACAAAAATGGGAAAGGGAAGAATCACATAACTAGATGCTGCCATGTGGTGTTAAGATAGCTTTTCAGGTGGGTGGCTGGTTCTCATATGCTTCAGAACTCTCATGTAAGTTATATATACATGAAAATTTGTTATAAATATTTGTCATATATATATATGGAAAACATATACATAGTACACGTAAAATGGAAAACAATTTTTAAATGAGTGCCAGGCAATCAGGTAAGCTAAATGAGACAAGATTACAAGGAAAGGAAAATTGTAATAACAATTAAAATACTCATTGGACTTAGCAAATGACAGAAATGATCCTGGAGGAAATGTAGAGGACAAACTTGAGATGTCCTGTTGCAGAGGGAAAACAAAAAGATTGAAAAGTGATGAGAAAGGAGATGATAGATGTGCAAGCCCCAGGATGGAGGGCTCACAACCAGACTCCTGAAACAATGAGTGGAGCAAACAGAAAGAAAAAGAAGTCAAAGCTATATTTAAAGAAAATTCTCACCTTAAAAAAAGACCTTAGTCTTTCCGATCAAAAGTACTCCCCAAATATCAGCAAATTAATGCAGAAACCCACATTGACACATTTCTGATAAAACTTCAAATATCAAGGATAAAACATGACTTCTATAAGCATTCTGGCAGAATACAAAAAATAGAAAATAAACAGGCTAACCAAACAGAATAAAATTCACACTAGCCTCAAATTTCTCTGCAACAACAAACACGACAAAAACATGATTTCAAAGTTCATTTGGAAAAATAAATGGATATGACTAATTAAAGAAAGTTTGAACAAAGAAGGAAAAATTATAAATGAAATGAACTTGAATCTCTAGATATTAAAATGTAAACTACAATAAAGAAAGTGATGTAAAACTGATAATATACAATATGTTATATTACATATTATAATGTTATATATTGTATATATTTATATGTTTTTACATACATGTATAAAACTTGGTATGTGATAAAGATATGTTTAAGAATAGGTTATCAACTGTATGATGCTACAACTAGTTGTAGAATAATTTAGAAAATAATTAGTACCATATAGCTAAATAGTTTTCAATGAATTAAGAAGTTACACTTTTAAATGATTATATAAAAAGAACTAGAAGAAATATCAGTGAAGATTGACCTGATCTTTGTGTGAGGAAGGACTTTCTAAGAATAAAAGAAGTGAAAGAAATCAAAAGGAAAAAAAGGATATATTTTCCTATAATTTTTTTAAAAATTCTCCATGTCAAAAAATCATAAATGTTGATAACAAGTACACTACAGACTTGGATGGAATATATTTGTTCAATATATATTCCAAAGATTCTTACCAATAATATTAAAAGATGTATTACAAATTAATAAGAAAAAGGTGGATATCCCATTGGAAACAGGAATGACTGTGATAATCACTTCACCAAGTTTACTTCAAATCAAAAATAGAGAAAGTGTCATCAAATAAGAGCAAATTGAACCGAGATTTTTTTCATTTATATGATTGACGATGATAAAATATTTGGCATTTTAAATATTAGGAGACCATATTTAACAGCCATTCTGAGGACACTTAGAGTTAATTAAGGTAGGTGGCTGGGCAAGGCTTAGAGCTCACTACTCAAGGCAGATTTAGAGCTATTCGGCTGGCAAAGGGGCTTTGAGACTGTTCTGATTTATGCCATTCAACAGACATTTTTAAGCAGCTGATGTTATAGATGACCACACAAGGGGAAAAAAAAGAAGATCATTAAAAGGTTTCTGCCTGGAAAGATGAAGGCTGAGAAAACATGCATGATGTCTTTAAGACCTTGAGTAGCATGCTCACACTGAACGGCATGATTATGGAATTCCAGAATTGGGGGGAGGGAGGAAGCCCCCAAACAAATTAGGAAGCCCCTTTTTACATGGAGAATTATAAACACTGAAGTCATTACCCCATAACTGGATATAAGAACAAATGCAAAACAGATACATAATATATCTTGTATCAAGTATAAAAATAAAATATGATAATAGCAAATACCATAGAAATTAAGATGGCAGTGAATAGGCTTTTGTAAGTTCAAATACATGTGTGGGTCACAGATTGAATATTTATTAATCAGTTACAAATGGATGCCAGAATGGTTAAAAGCATCACATTCTTTTAGTTTAGAATTATTCTTTTTATTTTAGAATTATTGAGGATGACCAAGAAGTAGCACCATGGTTTGCAAACATTCTTCTGTTTGTGTTTCTGACTATGGAATTCAGGACCCTGGTCTCTTGCCTGGAGGACCTTCATCCCCCTCCCATCACACTAATAGTCTTTAGTGACAATATTTGGAGGATGACATTGGATTCTTATATTGATGACAATGCTAAAGATTGGAAATCTTCTATTCTACAGTTAAACACAAGTCATAAACCAGTATGAAAGGAAAGTCATAGGAAAAGAAAGTCAAAGATGTAAGGCCCTGATAGGTTATTATTTCATATGTGAAAAACTTTGATTCATTTGTATTGCGTGCCTGTCTGAGTCCACCCTACTTAAATTTCCCTATTTGGTCAGTTGAAAAGGCCACTTTAGACTGTGCCCATTTCATTATCAACCCAAGGTGAGCACCGGATTGTGTTGACAGGCTTACAGGATTAGGGTCTCTTTAGTCATGATTCACTGTACCCCTGGTAAGAAATGGTTTCTGGCCTGTGTGTTGGTATGTTTACTCAAGATACTCAACATGCTTCTTTCTCTGACTTTCCACCTCTCTATTCTTCTCAGGACTACTGGCTCTCTCTCCTTTACAAGCGCCTGATCGGCCCCAAAGTCTTGGCTGTGCATGTGGCTGGGCTCCAACGGAAGCCACGGCCAGGCCGAGTGATCCGGGACAAACTAAGGATTTATGCACACTGCACAAACCACCACAAGTAAGTCTTCAGAGAGATGTCAGAGGAAGCCACTCCCAAGGGGCTTCAGGCTTCAGGCCCCTCCTAGAATTCCATACCATTTGGGACCCTTGTTAAGACTGACTGTAAACTGCTTCTGGAATCATTATACCTGCTCTTTGCAGGTTTCAAAGGACCTCTGATAAATAGCTTTTTCTCCAAGTGAAACCGTTTTCTCACTCTCAGAGGATTGATGCACAAAAAGTTCATAAAAACACATGCCATTTGTTCATTTACTTCTTCATCCAACAAACTTTTATTGAGCATTTTCTCTGTGCCAGTTGATGTAATGCCCATGAAGCTTTTGTGTGTACCTACCCTTGAACCAAGCTAGAGATATAAAATTTGTTCCTATGATCCAGCAGCTGAGCTTGAGGAAATAAGTCTACATTTCTAAGGTGTATGCTGGAGAGCTCTCCCACTAGAAACCTAGCCCTAGACCTGTGTGTCCCAAGCTGGAAAGCCCAAAGGTAGTCACGCCAGCTTTAGAAACATTTTCAGAATTTCAGAAATCTTTCCAGCTATTTTAAATCTTATGAGGTTAAATAAAATCTAGGCTTCCTTTTTTACAGGGCTGAACTCAGAACAATCAGTGTGGTAATGCGTGGTTATCCTTCTCTTTTTGATCCGAAGCACTGGTTGTCATTGAAGTTGTCTGTAAATAAACAGGAAAAATAATTATCATTAAGTAAATAAGGTGAGGCAGATAAAATTTTAAAACATGAAGATCAGAAGGTAAAAATTGAAAACTGAGCCTAAAGCCAAACCCATCTGACCAAATACGGCTTTCTTACATCACTTCCTGTTTAAGGAGCAGAGTAGGCAGCTCTGAAAAAGAACTCTTTCTCTTAGTGCAGGTGGAGGAGAGGAGGAGGAAGCCAGTGCCTCCAGCCAGACCTTCATTCCGGTGGGCCTATCAGGGGCTGATCATGGGCAATGGATAGCACAAAGAGCTCCAGTGGTCAGGTTACAACAGACGCTCCTTCCCCTTCCTTGATGAGAGAGGAGCCAAGTCAATTAATTTATCATGATAAGATTTTTCAAAGAATCACTCTGAATATAGTGGGGCCAGGGGCCAGTTGTCTTGTCTGTAGATACAAGTGCCTATTGTGGATGAGAGGAGGCTGGTTTGGGCCGAGGCCAGAGGCTTTCAACGTCCCTTTTGCTCAACAGGAAGCTCAATCCAATACCTGACAGAGAGTGACTGCTTTATGGCTTTGGCTGGAGTTATCTGATCACCACACAAGGATACATTGTACTCCTTGTCTCCACCCTGGCCCTGAGGTAACCACTCAAAAGGAGGACCCCCAGCTTCAAGAAAGAAATATTATCCTTGGCACCTTTTGTCTCTGTTGGGAAGCACATCAGTTGTGCCCTTTATACTATCGGTCTGAGGAACCAGGGGGAAAATGTCAGTAGCCATGGGCTTAGCAGGATTTGGGTGTCCTCACAGAGGGCTCCTCACATAGTCTCATCCCATTGCTCATCCTCACATTCTTTGACATGCTTGTGGGGAGTTGTCACTAATATTCTGAACATACCATGAACTCAGGGCCAGTGTCTCATTCATTTTTGTATTCTTGGTATCTAATATGGTGACTGGCATGAAGATCTCAGCAAATGTTGGATGGATGGATGGATGGATGAATGAATGCAGAAATAGGACATCAAGACCTCACGGATGATTTACAGCTCTCACTCTCTTCCCCTTTGATCTCAGCAATCATCCAGAAGGAGGTGGTGTGGTAGAATGGCTAAGAATTCTACCATTCCCTAGCAGGAGAGCTCAAACAAGTTAACCAAAATCATCTGGATTTAATATGCTCTCTAATCACCAGCTCTCTGCTTTCTGTGGGAATTCACTTCAGAACCTCTCTAGGGAAACGGTGCCACTGTGCTTCTGTTAGAAGCACCCCTCTTCCCCATTAAAAAAGGAAGACGAGACTTGACTGATCTCTTGCACATATGGCCATAATGATAATAACAGAGGGGAAGGTCTTTTTGTTCCTATTAAAAAAGTAAGCCCACAACAGATGCACTGAGCTGGCTGGGAATGCCGGTCTCCTCCATGTCTGTGGGTGTCAGGTGCCCCAAATAGGTAGGCACAAAGATAGGACAAGTGTCTCTTCTCCTTCTCCCTGGGAAGCTGTGTGCCCTGTCTGCGCCCCCTCATGATTCACAACAGCCATGAGGAAGCACTACTGATTCACTTAGTTTATTCATGGTCAACAAGCTCAAGGTCACAGAAATGTCCCAGAGTGGGCATGTTGGCTTCACACTGTTCACTCTTGACCAATACTCTGAAAATATATATCCTTGGTCAAAGCAGGGATTGGGTGAGAAAGTATAAACTTACCAGTAGAACAACCCAGAGAGACTGTCTATTGAAACAACTCCTGCACTCCAGTGTATACTGAGCACTTGCTGTGTGCCAAGCATCTTGCCAGATATCTGCACTTATATTATCATACCGAATTCCAAAAGCTTTATGGTATCACCCCTATATGCAAATAATAACAACATTAATAATGCAAAGATTTTTACACTTGGGAAGAACCCTTAGAGATCTTTTGGCCCAATGTCCAATACAACAGAATTTTCTTTTACAATCTCCTTGGCAGTTATGCAACCTCTATTTGAATACCTCGCTGCCTTTCATGGCACTCTCTTACATTGCGGTTTGTTTCTGACCTAGGAGAGTGTTGTGTTTTATGATTGATTTAGGATCAAAAGTTCGAAATGCAAACCAACACCAGCAGGTGCTCTGCTGCCTTCTGTTCTAGAGTCAACAAGTCAGGAGCCCGTCAGCATGGCAGTTCTCACCTCAGATCTTCTTGTTCAGAGAACAAATATGTTTTGACTGGGAAACTTTGTCTTTATAAACTATCCTGCTGAAATAATGTATGTTTCTAGGGACGAGCTGAGGTCCTTAGCCAAGTTCAGAACCAACTGGAACCTGGTGGATATTGAAGCAAAATTGAGCCTTTTGGGGTTCAAGTTTGTTTATTATTGGCAAAACATGACTTCCTGTTTTTTAGAAGAAATCCTTTTAAAGGCTCATAAAAAAGGTTCCTGAGGCTTCTTGGACATCAAATGACTCTTACAAAACAATATTTTGATGAGTTAAGTGTAAATGAATCAGAAACATGTGGATTAAATTTCCCTTAAAATACACAGGGGCTTTGAAATTAGGGGAAAAAATGTTTGGCAAAACATGGCCTGACTTTTACCGAACCCAAAAACTTTGAGTTAGATTTGGGGACAATGGACCAACCCAGTTCTCAAACACATGGACTTTCACTGGAAATGACCATGGATTCCAAAGCACCGTCTTCTATTCCCTTTCCTTGTCTCCCAGCTTCACTGGAGACATTTCTAGAACAGTGACTGTTTTTTTATCTGGAAGTCAAGACGCATCTCTCCATATGATGTCCCCCACCTCTTACATCGAGGATACTCCACTTGGAGCCTCTGTTCCCTGACTCACTTCCTCCTACCCCCATGGCATCACAGAGAAGATGTCAGGCAGCAAAAGAACAGCCAGAAAGATGAACTCCAGATGCATGGATTCTCTACTGGGGAAGAAGTCTCACCATGAGTGAGACATGGAGTAAGATAGATGTTTTACCAGACAGAAAGGGACATTTGCTAAGAGAACCAAAATCCACCTGGACTTGACATCAGAAGATGAGTGATTGCCTGTTAGCCATGCTTTCAGTCAGACCCCATCTTCTTAGGCAACAGATACTCCTCCAAGATTATTTTTTTGTGGGCAGAGAATATATATTCTTCAGAAATCTGGATCTTCGACACAGTGCTTTCAGGTTGGTGCCTACACTCCCAAGCCAAGAATGTATCTTTGCAGCCAAACGACCTCTGCTTAATATCCTTGCCCCTCAGCCAAGCAGGAGAAGGGACGGCTGAGGCAGTCTTCAATGCCAGTTCCTACCTGAGGAGGCTCCATGAATTCTGTGAGAGCCTCTGCACATGGGTCTCTGAGCTGGCTTTCAGTACCGGTTTTTCTCCCCCAGGGGAACTATGTAAGTGGAAATCAGACCATTGCCAAGCAGCTTGAAAAGACAGCTTTCCCTGCAGCAGTGCTGTGATTTCAGGTCTCCCTCCCACCCACCACTTCCCCACATCCTACCCTTCTCCTCTGCAGTCTCCCAGGGCTAGTTCTGCCCCAGCTCTGCAGAGGGAAAACTGCACGAGGCTCTCCCCCCTCCACTGCTCGCCTTTGAGAAGGTTATCTGATGGGAGTTAGCAAAAGAGTTTACCACAGTCTGGCAAAATTGGTACCCATGCATGCTTACTTTTGCTCACACTGAAGCCCAGAGTACCTGTAGTTAATGGTGTTTTGCTCAATTTCCTCAGCAAAGCAAAGCTTAAAGCCCACCAATGGAATATAGTTGGTGTTCTTTTACTGACAGTAAATGCTGACACAGGCTAGCGGCATCTTTCTTCCGAGCTCTGGTGACACAAGTCTGCTCAGTAAATGGACATTCTCTTCTGACCTAACTCAGCTGTCTCCAAAAACTACTTCACATGCTTCAGAAGATTAAGAAGGACCAGAGGAGGAGGAACCAGAGAGAAAAGTCATATAATAATTTATCAGAATATCAATGCAGGCATTCAGAAAGCCTTTGAACATAATAATGTGCCCTACAGATGCAAGAAAAATTATCGGACACACAGTCAATGGAATATACTTTGGGAATTCTCCTAACCCTAATGGATTGCTCTAGGCAAGTGGTTTCCAAACCCAACTCATCTACCAAATATCCTAGAAAGATTTACACACACACACACACACACACACATTCCTAGCCCCCATCACAAACTAATGGAATCAAAATCTTCAGGATGAGTCCTAGCAACTGTTTTATTAAAAAGCAAAACAACCCAAGTTATCATGTTGACCTGCCCTTAGTCACTCAACTCTTAATTAACACCTTTAGAAGCAGAGGTGAGTGACCCAGAGGCTAAGGGATGCTGTTTCTGCAAGGAATGATATTTTCCTCTGGGCAAAGTTGACTTAGAGTTTCTCTGAACTCCTCCTTTGAAGGCAGGACTGGGTCATTTCTTCTGTTTCCTCTCATTAACCCATCCAGATGGGGCCCTAGGGGACCCCTTAGAAACAAAGTCTTTTTTCCTACAAGAAAGAAGGAAATCATTATAGTTTTGTTGATACATGCTGAAAGGCTCTTGCATGTAGGCATATAGTTCTTCCAGGCTTCTGAACATCCTGTGCTGGTTTAAAAGGATTCCAAAATGTGAATAGTTTTATAAGCTTGGTGTAGGTAAAACAGCAAAAGCAGAAATAAAAAAGATCAATAAATTTGACTACCTAAGAGTTTTTAACTTTTATACATCAGAATACAATGTAAACAAACTGAATTGGTCAAAGAAACCTGGGGGAAACTTGGTAACATACATGCAGACAAAGGATCACTATCTTTAATAAATAGCTTTTATAAATCAATAAGAAAATGGGCAAAGGACATGAATAGTCAGTTTACAAAAGAAGAGATGAAATGGCAAACAGGCAAATGAAAACAATGCTGCATCTCAGCATGAATTTTTTTAAAAATACAAATTAATACAACATCGAAATCCCACTATCACCTCTCGGGTTGATAAAGGTATTTTAAAAGGTTAATATCCATTATTCTTAAGGGTATGAGGAAATGGGTGCTCTTATAGATAGCTGAAGAGAGCAAACTGGTACAAGCTTTCTAGGCAGTTAACATCAGTGTTAGCAAAATGTGTGTATCAGTCAGGATAGGCAAGGTTATGCCGTGATCATGGAGGACCAACAAATCTCCATGGCTTTCGATAAGAAAGTGTATTTCTCATGCACACTACTTATCTGTCATGGCTCAGCTGTAGCTCTGCTCCAAATCATCTTCGTGCCAGGATGCAGGTCAATAGAGTAACCTCTGTCAAGAACATCGTTGGTCTTCTGGCACAGGGAAAAGAGTCATGGCAAAACACAGGCTGCCTCTTAAAACTTCTGCACAGAGATTTTAACATGTCCACCCACATTTCATTGGCCAAAACCAATCGTGTGATCCCTAGGTTTCAACACAGCAAGGACAGAAAACCTTCCCACAGGGAAGGGCATCACCCGGGAATGAACCAGAAGATTTGGTTAGGAATCATGCCATGTGCCTTCCCCTAGACCTAATGTGTCCAACTTCCAGGACTTTATCAGAAATAATGGTGACATGCAAAAAGTTTATATAATAGCATTATGTAATTTTGTTATGGCAAATTTTGAAAAAATGTAAGTCTCCAAAGGTAGGGGGTTAACTAAATAAATTATGTTACATTTCTATAATTAAAGAATTTAGCATTCTTCTGTAAGTAGAAGAAAATACAATAACATAATAAGATGAAAATATGTTTAAGATGTTCACGAACTGTAAAAACAATGTGGTCTCAATTAGATGAAAACTGAGAAATATATATGTATATGTCAAAGTACTCAGTAAATATTTGAATTAATATTGAATTAATAAACAAAAAATACTGGAAGGATGTTTACCAAAATTTTATCATATCTCAAGATACTTGGATTATGGGAGAATTTTCTTTTTCTTCTTTGTATTTCTCCGTATTTTTCCTTTTTTTCCCCCTGCAGTCAGCATGTTTTATTTTCACACTCAGAAAAAGATATTTTGTTTTCTAAAATCATTGGGATACATTTAAACAAAAACAAAAGGAGTGTGGTAGGAAACGGGTATCTTCTCTGCAAGAAACCACAAACAATAACAAGGCCTTCCTGTCTTTGAAGGTCAGGGGTGGCCAAGAATCATAAAATAAGTGCCCTTTCCTGGGGCAGTCCTGTCTGGTGCAGTCTATAAATTATTTAGCAGCACCTAACTGACAACTTTATGTCCATCTTACCCTTCTCCCTCTCCATCTCAGCCACAACTATGTTCGAGGGTCCATTACACTTTTTATCATCAACCTGCACCGATCAAGAAAGAAAATCAAACTGGCTGGGACTCTCAGGGATAAGCTCGTGCACCAGTATCTGCTGCAGCCCTATGGACAGGAGGGCCTCAAGTCCAAGTAAGTGCAGACCAAGAAATAGCTTAAGAGCAATTGCAGCAGGAGCTGGGAAGGGAGGGATCTACTGTCCCTTTCCTGCTGCTAATTCACTCGGGGGCTCAGTGGGATGGAGTCAGAGGACTGCTGACTCCCTTTGGGACCCTTGTCAAGCCCGTCCCGGTTCTAGGCTTAGATTCCTCAACTGTAAAGTCAAATGGTAGACAAAATATTTCTCAACAAGGGCATTTTTGGTATCTGGGCAAGACAATTCATTACGAAGAATGATCTCATTTCAAGCTACTTATTTGCATCCTGGGTCCCTGCCCTCTAAATGTCAATAGCACCGCCTAGTCATGTGACAACCGAAAACCCTGGGGGTTGAGAGCCATGCCCCTTTCAGCTGTAACATTCTGTAATGCTATAACTCCGTTTGTCAGCATCTACAAACCTCATGGGGACAAAGGGTTCAAAGTTCAGAGATCAAGAGTCTATGCTGCCCCTAAATTTGTAACTTTGGACACATAACCTCTTGGATCTTAAGTTTCCTTATCTGAACATTAGAAGAGACATTATATTCTGGGGGCTCTGTGACTCCCTCAAACTCTATAAATATATGATTCTGTGATACTCCCTACCTCCCTCGGTCTTTACCAGAGACTGTTGACAACACTGACCTCTACCAAGAGAAAGCAGCTCTAGGCCACAGGGAGAAGAGCCTGGTCAGCTCCCGAATAAGGCCTCCCAGGAAGGGTATGGGACACTGTACAGACTAGGAGTATTCCTATTCCATTTTTAATGTTTACCAAGTTTAACAAAGCTGTAAACTTGGAGCAGGTGGCTTGCACTCCCACAGCTGCCCACAACTATTTGCGCTATAATTGTTCGCTGTTTCACAGCAACCTTGGTGGCTTGCATTTGGCTTCCAACTGTATGTGCAATGGGAACAAAACACAATCTGGGAAGTGACTTACTGAGTCTCTTTAGCCCACCCTAGATCTGTATTTTCAGTCTTGGTTCACATACTGGCTCTTTTCTCTGGCTACATGTACTTTTCTTTCCCCTCAATCCTACCTGTATTAGGAGACTCTCTTGAGTATTTTATCCCATCTCTATTTACCAGTCATTCATGACTAGTGTGCTGAATTCCTGGTCTTTATCTTAGGCAGGAGAACCAGTTCTGGTCCCAGCTTCACTAAATAATTGTTTGACCTGAGTAGATCCTTCAATCCTAATCCCTTGGCCTCAGTGTTCTTACCTGCAAAATTCAAGAGTTGCTTTATGTTTGGCAGGGTCCCTTCCAGCTCTAAAGTTCTCATCCTGGGTCTGATTCTCTGAGGATCCTATGAGTATGTTTAAATTTCCCACTGCCATTCACTAGTGACCCGCAAAGTCATTTCTGGCAGAAGGGCTGACACCTCAAGCAGTGACTGTGATCGTTCAGGGTCCTCTGGAGCCAGAGATTAGGAGCTGAGCCTGCCCAACGTTGAGAAGACCATGTGTACTGTGTGGAAGGAACCGGCCAAATGCCTTAGTCTAACAGGCCACTTGCTGGCTGTGTGTCCCTAAGCAAATTACATAATCTCTATAATACAGTCTTAGTTTCTTCATCTCATGAGGAGAGGAGTCAACAAGGTAATCCAAGTAAAGTTCTTGCCACATAGGAGGTGTGCAGTAAATACCCATTGCCTTCCTTTTCCTCAACTTGGGACTTTAGCTGGCTGGGGAGGAAGAGGGAAACAATTGCTCTCTTTCTAACATCTCTAAGATGTTCTTCCAAAGCAGAGTCTTCTCGGATTTTTAAGATAATGTGTTGCTAAGACACTTGTTAAGATTATAATAAAAATGGTATAAATGCAAAACCATGAAACAGGAGGAGATGTAGTCAGAGGGTAGCATCATTTTATGAGTTTGTTCCCCCACCAACCAAGGGCATGGGCCTCCAACACTGTTCACTCCACTCTATGCCCCTGCCTCCAGGATTATTCCCCTGACACTTGAACCTGGCCACACCTTGGCCCCTCCTGCCTATACCTGTCCATCAGAGTGACTGAGATGACTCCCCCTGGCTACTCATATGCCGTATGTTCCAATTATGCTGTCTTGTACCTCACCTTGTCACCATCGCAGTGAGAAGTTGTGTTATGGTTTTGTTGAGAATGTCAGAGAGGGACAGGGAAAAAGGGAATTTCATGCCACAGGGGTCCTGAAGAGGGATTTGGTAATGGCCACTGAGATCAAATAACAATGTTATACACTCAGAAGAAGAGGGAGCCAGAATCAGAAGGCCTGCCTATGAATCCAGTTGCTTCCATTTACTCGTGTGGACAAACCTCGGCTCCCTTACCTGTCAGATGGGGTGATTGTAAGAATCAAATTAGAGCATGTGGGTGAAATACAGCTTTCTACAAGTGAAAATTTCACACACCCATGCATACGCATATGTATATAAGTAGAAATACAGACAGGCACATATGACATTACATATGTCATCTTAAAGAGAGTTTTGGATTGGAAGTCAGGAGAACTGGACTCCAGCCCTAATCCTGCCCTTACTTCACTGTGGAGCTTTGAGCCCTTCACTTAGTTCTCTAAGCCTGTTTCTGTCCTGTAAACTACTGGTAATGTGACACCTCTCCCGTTCTAGACCCCCGTGGCTTGGACCCTGTGTTGCGCCATCTTGTACTGTAAGCCCCCAGCAGAGGCTGTTGTGCATATGTTCAGCGCCCCCAGCGCTCTGCTCAATAACTACAAATGCGTGCAGGAGCCCTCGGTGGTTCTGAGATGGGGGTCTTACAGGAAGGGTATGGTTTTGGTGAAGCAGACTGTGCAGGAAAGGATGAAAGGACATGCAAGGAAGTGATTTCAGCCTTTGGTGTCTCCTTCTCTGTTTTATAAGCCTCTGGGGCCAAATTCTGTGTGTCTGCTAGTTCCTCGCTGCAGCCTGGAGCCATATTAGCTCAGAAGAGGATGGAAAGCTCTGGGAGCTGAGAAACCTGTAATTGCTCTTGTCTGGAGGAACCAGAAAGAGGAGATAGAGCAAGTCAGTGTGCCATTCAAGCCACCAGTTAGACATTTTGGCCTGGCGTTACAGGAGTAGAGAGATGCCAGCAAACCTTTATGACTGGTTGAGAACAAGGGGGTAATTCTTATTCTCTTGGAGTTGTTAGCAGGGCTGGGTATATTTGAAATCTCTGGAAAGGTATCTTCATGAGATCTCGGGGCTCAAGAATGTCAGGCATCGCACATGAAGCCCCCCTAGGGCCACTAATCAGGCACAGTCTGGGCATCCGAGTCCACAAATGAAGGTTCTTGTTTGTCATTTCAGTAAGTGAGCCAATCATTAGATCCACCACTTGAGTCTCAACTCTCCAAGTGAGAAATAGTTCCCATTCTTGGAATCAGACAAAAGGTGGGTGCCCTATCTACCCTATAGGATAGGAGAAGGGAAGCTTCGAAAATTGCAATGTGTACAAGAGGACGGGGTTCTGTGTCTAGAATACATATTCTGTAAGGAATGGCTGAAGGTAATAGGGAGATTTCATTCAGAGAGGAAAAGTAAGGCAAGTCGTGAAGACTTTCTTCAGATACTTCAAGGACTGTGAAGTGAAAGAAAATAGATTTAGCCTAGATCCTCTAAAGTGACAGCAAACCAGGGAGTGCAATTTAAAAGAGAAAGATTTTACCACAAAAAGAACTCATTTTCCAAAGGCTTGTTTGGCTTGACTGAGGACAGGGTTTTTAGGAGGTAGCCTATTACTCAGAGAGTGAGTGGCCATGGCCAACCCAGAGGGGCCCCACGTTTCTCACTCAGTAGGCGGGTGAGCTAAAAGAGTTCTGCTTCCCATTGAACTCTAAAATTCGTTTATTCTCTTCCATTCTCCTTCCCCCACTTCCACTTCATTTTTGGAGTCTGTGGTCAACAGCCAAGTAGCTTCTTCAGGCCACTAAAAGGCCACACAAAGAGGATGTGCTGTAAGAGGACGTGGCAGTAATATTGGGCTAGGTTTTCTCCAGAAAATCTCCGTCTGCAAATCCATCCTCTGTCCTGTTCCCTGGTTTCTCACCTTCCTGGAAGGAAAACTGACCATTTACACCCAAGACAATAATAGTTCCCATTCTAGATAAGTCAAAGAGAACCTTTGTGGCATCTCCATCATCCACAAAGGAAAGAATCTGCCCAATGCCTGATGTGATCATGAATCAATGAGCATTGTTCTCTAGGGAATCGGTTCTACCCAAGACATAAATATCTCCAGTATCTTCCAACAAACAGGGAAACAACATGAAGCTGGGCCAAAGAAGTTAACTTGCATCAAAAAACAGGACTAAAAACATGTTTTAGGGAAAAGTCAAACCAAGAGCAGGTGTTTGCTCACATCCCAGTGTCCTGCCCTATGTGTCTCATTCGATTCCATTTGAAGGGAAAACTGTCAAAAATTAGAAAAGAAGGAAACAACCTTCATCACATTGACTGTTCTATTCTGACACAGTAACCTGAGGGAATCAGCAGCTGCTAAGAATCCTGGGGCAGAATAACATTTTGAAGTGATCTGCTTCATTCTCCCTACCCTTAGAGAGCCTGTGGCAAAGCCATATGGACTAGAAGATGCTCTAGGTTTAAAGACCTCTGGGGAAGGAGTGCCCACAACTTCAATCCTGTCTAAACACTTAATTTTATAAGAACACTGTGGCCCACTGTGGCTGGGACTTTATAGATAATAGAGAGCTTTAAGAGCCATTATCTCATTTGACCCTCTGAATAGCACCAAGAAGAAAGTAGAACAATCCCTGCCTCTCTCACACATTAGAGTTGGAGAAACCGAATCTTAGAGCATTAAGTGACTTATTCAAGAGTCACACAACTATTATGTGATAGAGCTAGAGAGTATCTAGGACCCAATTTTCCTGGCCCCAAATCCAATGCACTTTCCTCAACACTGTGCTACCCCAATAGCCCAGCAATATAAAATTATAATGACGTACTGACAAACATACAGTACGGATCACTGAACCCTATCACG